GGCGGAATTTTTAGGAGGAGGTAGATCCAGATCGGAAGGGAGGGATCCCACCCACGGGACCAGGCTCCGTTCGTCTCCTTCACTATCCTTCCCAAAAATCCCTCTGTTCAGGAGATTACCTAAAGCAAGAAAGAAACAGACACAGAAAAATAAGCCTCTTTTCAATCACCGTCGATCTTCAAAAAATGTTCTCCTTCGTCAACACCACACCACCTTCAAAAACCAGCCAAAAAAAAACAAAACCCCCCCTGCCTTCTAGCCAAAACCCTCTATTTATACCCATCAACAACCGAGCTTTATCTTATTCAAAAACGAGACAACGTGCCAAGGAGAATCGCACAACCAGAGCAGGTACAAGATCGGGTTGCAGGATTGCGTTGCAGCCGGGGATTGCACGATTGGGGCATAGGTGATGAGTGCAGATCGGCTCGGGTAGAGGAGGGGTGATGAGTGCAGATCTGGGCTCGGGCAGAGGAAGGTGCAGGCGCGCAGGGGGTAGGGCACGTAGGCGTGCAGGAGGCATGATTGCCGGTGCGCAGAGTGCAGGAGCTAGTGCAGAGCAAAGCTGGTGCAGGAAGCAAGGCCGGGCGCAACAGAGTGCAGGCTGGGGCAGAGGAAGGTGCAGGCGACCTGGGCGCAGAGTAGGGAGCAGGGGCGTAGGTGCAAGGCTCGGGCGTAGGTGCAGGGCTAGTGCAGCTAGGCTGGGCGTGCGAGGGGGCGATGATGGCTCGGTGCAGAGGAGTTGGGCGCGGTGCAGAGGATCTGGGCTGTGCAGGGGGGAGAGGAAGCTGGAGATTGATGCCGAGGAGGGTGGAGGCTGATTCGGGAGAGAGAAAAGTAAAAGGAAAATGGAAGAAAGAGGTTCCAGAGAAAAAAAAGATTTAATCTTTTTTCTTTTCTTTTCTTTTCTTTTTTTTGGGTTAAATGGGTTTGGTATTTGGGCTTGGGTTTGGGTAATTGTTGGTTTTGGATTTTGGGTAATTTTTGGTTTTGGGATTTTGGGCTTGGGTAGTTGGTAGGCTTTGGGTTTTGGGTAATTGGGTTTGAGTTTGGTGGGTTTTGGGCTAGACTTTGCATTTCACCCCTCCAACTTTCCATTTCTTCAATTGAGTCCTTTCTCGAGTTTCCTTTCCCATTTCCTTCTTGAATTTCCCCTTTTTGCACCTGAAAGAAAAATGAAGATGTATTAGTTAAAGGAAAGAGAGATTGTCATATTTTCATATTTTTTGATTTTTTTGATTTTCTATTTTTTTAATTAATTTTTGTGATTAATATATATTTTTTTTGTTTTTTTTTTTGTCTTTATATGAAAAGTTTAAATAAGCTGAATAAAAAATCGGATTATGGCAATAGTATTTTTGAAAATTAAATCATAATTATTGAATGAAAATTTTTAATTAATTTAAATGTAATTTGAAATTAAATTACTATTTCAAATTAGAGAATAATTTTAATATAAAATCAAATCAATTTGATTTTGAAAATAAAATAAATAACTACTTCATATAATTAAAAAAAATCAATTTAAAATTAAAACTAATCTTAAGTAATTTCAATTTAAAAAAATAATTTTTTTGTCTATTTTTGTTATGTTATTTTAATTTTTATGTTGAATTTAACTTAATTATTTTATATAATAATCACATGGCAATTGAAAATTATTTTTTTCCTAGTATTTGTTAAATATTTTTATTTAGGTTACAAA